CTATATATTCAATGCAATCCCAATCCAAATCCCATCAACATTCTTTAAGGATATGGAAAGAACAATCACTAACTTTATATGAAAAGGAGAGAGACGTTGGATAAGCAAAGCACTACTGAAGAAGAAGAACAAAGTAGGAGGTCTCACACTGCCAGATCTCAAAACCAAGTCAAAACTGCCAGGTACTGGTATAACAACAGACACATAGACCAATGGAATAGAATTGAGAACCCAGATATAGATCCATTGACCTATGGGCAGCTGATCTTTGACAAAGGGCCTAAATCCATTAAATGGGGAAGAGAATGTTTGTTTAATAAATGGTGCTAGCAAAACTGGAGATCCATTTGCAGAAAAATGAAATGAAACAAGATCTGTACCTCACACCATACACAAAAACGAACTCCAGATGGATCAAAGACTTAAATGTGAAACATAAAACTATAAAGTTCCCCAAGGAAAAACCAGGAGCAAATTCAGAGGCCCTAATATATGGCATCAGTAGACTATCAAGCATAACCCAAAATGCACAAACAGCAGAAGAAAAACTAAATGAATGGGACCTTCTCAAAATTAAATTTATATGTGCTTCCGAAGACTTTGCCAAAAGAATCAAAAGAGAATCTACAGATTGGGGAAAAATATTCAGCAATGACATATCTGGCAAGGAACTGATCTCAAGAATTTATAGAAAACTCCAACACCTCAACAACAAAAAGACAAATAATCCAATTAAAAAATGGGCAGAAGACATGAATAGACACTTCACCAAAGACAATATTCAGGTGGCCAACAGACATAAGATGAAATGCTCACAATCATTACCCATTACAGAGATGCAAATCAAAACAACAATGTTATACCATCTTGCTCCAGTACTAGCAGCAAAGTTCAATAAGACAGAAAACAACAAATGCTGGCGAGGGTTGAAGAGATAGATGGCAAGGCCTCTCTTGTGGTTGTAAGATATGGCAAGGTCTCTCTCACTGTTAAATGCTTAACTGGCAAAACATCAAGTATTAAAAGTAGATGTTATTCTAGTAGTCCATGTTTTCATCTTATTGGGATGTTTCATACTTTGGGTCACTGTGCCATAGTAAAAAATTTATAGTTTTACACTCCTTATTCCTGAGGAGACTTCTGTGATTGTTTTAATGACCACCTGTTGTCCTTGAGTACACAGAGGAGTAAAACTTTAACTCTGTAGAGAATAAGCTGATTATATGAATTTGAAGACTAATGATGTAATCATGTATAAACATATAAAGTAGAACAAAGGCATCAGGGGTCACTCTCGCAGAACATGCAGGGCATCCACCTGGCCCCCCTTCCTTTTAAAAAAAAAAAGAAAACCATTAATCCTTTCGTGTCACTTCATTTGGTGACCTGTGCGGTTTTGCCAGACGTGGCAGGCGAGGATATGGAAAAATTGGGACTCTCATTTTACAGTGCCACTGCTGGTGGCACTGTAAAATGGTACAATCACAGTGGAAAGCAGTATGGAGATTCCTTAAAAAGTTGGAATTAGAAATACCATTTGACCCAGTCATTCCATTACTAGGTATATACCCTAAAGAAGTGAGAGCCAAGACAAGAGCAGATATATGCACACCCATGTTCATTGCAGCACTATTTATAAAAGCAAAAATATTAAAACAACCTAGGTGCCCATCAACAAAAGAATGGATAACCAAACTATGGTACATACACACAGAATATTATGCAACCCTAAATAATAATGTAGAATCCGGAAAACACCGCATAATGTGGATGAACTTGGAGGACATTATGCTGAGTGAAAGAAGTCCATCATAGAAGGACAAATATTGTATTAGTCCATTATTGTAAAAATCAAGGAAAGATTCATATATGGAAGGAAATTATCTTTGTTGGTTGCAAGGGGTGGGTGGGGAAGGGAGAGAACACTGTCAGATAGGTAGAGACAAGTACTGATTTGGGTGAAGAGAAGGGCAATGTATCAAATGTGAGTGATCAACATGGTGGCATTGAGGAAGAGGAAGACAGAGAGCGTGCATGGGAGGTACAGACAACAAAGATAAACCCTTCTGCACATACAGTGCTACGTTGTCAGTGAAGGCAAATAATGATCTACAGGTGAACAGATGGGTGGACAGGCTGAACTATGAGATATGTCTATGCAGCTAGGAGTATGCCCAAGACCATGTATAGGGTTGGCAGACAATGGTTCTACAAGGGTATTTACATGTTCTGCAAGAATCCCTAAGTGTATAGTAGAACCGACAAGAGGCAAGGTTGTAGCCACTTCTTGGTCACAGTCAGCTACCCAGAGGGAGCAAGTACTTGGACCTGTGGGCTCGGGACCATAGTTGCAGGAAACATCAATCTTAACTGGCATAACATACTACACAAAACACTGTTCCACATCCTACTTTGGCAAGTAGTGACTGGAATCTTAAAAGCTTGCAAGCAGCCATCTAGATGCAATGATGGGTCTCTCCTCGTCCAGAGCAATGAAAAATTAAGAAAACCAAAGATCCATGGAAAGAATTAGTCCTAGTGACTGGTACCCCATGCGTTCCTCAGCCTATATGACTATGAGACCAGAAAAATTAGATGGTATCCAGCTACCACTGTCAACCACTGAGAGAGGGATCTATGTAGGAGATCCTGGATACAGTGGGAGAACAACATGAAACAAAACTCAGAATCATTTGGGAAAAAAAAGAAAAGGGACTAGGTCTGCTGGTTTGATAGAGACTGATGTGATGGAACCACTGAGACTATGGCCCCTAGATGCCCTTCAGGTCTGGAATTGAACCCACACCTGTGGGTTCCAGCCAAACAAAAGACAGGTATAAGTGGTGAACACTTACACTAGGTAGATACACTCCTTGGAGAGAACAATCATGGGAGAATAGAAATGCTGTGTATGTACAGGGAGACGGCTCAGGGGGCAGGAGTTCATGGAGGGACGGACACAGGGAAGAGGTAACTATGGAGGGGGAGTGGTAGGGGAGCTGTTGCCTTGTGGTAAATTGTAGTCAATGTCATGAGACAAAGTATATGTGAACTTCTGCATGTAAAGTGAATCTGCTCTGTAAACTTTCACTCAAATCACAATTGAAAAAAGAAAAAAAATAACAACAGTATATCCTAATAATTGTTGTTGTTGTTGTTGTCGTTTGCCATCGAGTCAGCCCCGACTCATAGCAACCCCTCCTTGGGTTTCCGAGGCAGTATCACTACGGAAGTGGAATGCCCACCCTTCCTTCCGAGGAGTGGCCAGCAGATTCCCAGGAGACTATCATAGTTTCAGTGTACCTGGTATCTATTATTATTATCCTAATAATAGATACCAGGTACACTGAAACTATGATAGTCTCCTGGGAATCTGCTAGTTCTCCAGGGAAACTGACAGACAGAAGGCCAGGGCAGATCCCTGATCCCTGGCTTCTTTGGCTACAACAGAAATTCCAGTTGCTAAAGAACTATTAATGATAAACTACCTTGCATAATTACATATAAATCCAGTCACCTATTTCAGTCAGAAAAGCTTTATTTCAATGGCTATACAACAGTTTACTATAAGGGAGTATCATAATTTAAACATTTTCTTATTATTAAAAACTTAAGAGAATTACCATTTTTTCTTATAAGCAATGTAGCAATAAACATCCTTATGCCTAAATCTTCACTATATTTCTATTTCTTTAGGATACATTCACAGAGTTAGAATTCCTGGGTCAAAGGTTATGAAAATTCCTCAAGTTCTTCAGATATATTATAAAAGTATTTTTCAAAACGATGTAAGAAAATTTGCATGATAAATGTAAACAGCAAGATACAAAACTGCGTATCATCTCAGTTTTGTATAAGAAAATATATGTGTATAGAAAAAGTCTAGAATGAAAAAAATATGTTAATAAACCAAAACCAAACCCACTGTCACTGAGTCAATTCTGACTCATAGCAACCCCCACTGGGTTTCCAAGGCTGTAAATCTTTACAGAAAGTAGACTGCTTCATCTTCCTCCTGTGGAACAGCTGGTAGGTTTGAGCCACCAAGCTTCTGGTTAGCAGCCACATGCTCACTATGCCACCAGAGCTCCTTAAAATTTGTTAATAGTTATTAATAATTTTTTTCATCTCTGCAGTCATTTTATAAATGTCCTACAATGAGCATGTACTTATGAGTTAACATTACAAGTTACAGAAATTAAAAATTTTACCAAAGTGTAAGTCAATACAAAGCTTTATAATAAATAATTCAAGATAGCTTTTATCATATTAGAGATTATATAAACAAATGAAAAAAAATAACCATAAAAGAAAATTTTCTATTTCAATCACCACTTGACATACTCTTAAGAGTCAATATCATAAAGTAGTACGCTCTGTCTCACCACAACAGGTTATTAACTCCCACCAAGCTTTTAAGAACCAGAAATATTAAAAGTGGCACAGGCACATGAGTGAAAATAGTCCATTCAAAAAGAATCAGCATTAACCTAGAAAAAGCACTGAAGTATTCTGGCTCTCTTTGCTGTCAATCAATATGTGTAAAACAAGCAAAAAAAATCTCTTCTTTCTATAACCCATGGATAGTAAAAAAGTACAGATGCATTTTCACTACAGCAAGATGTCCTGGTTACAATGTTGTTCCCAGTTCCCTCCATTAAATTCTCACATTTCACTTTAAAAACTCCCTATCTTAAGCCACTCCTCGGAAGGAAGGTTGGGCAATCCTACTTCCGTAGTGATAATGCCTCGGAAACCCAAGGAGGGGTCGCTATGAGTCAGGGCCGACTCGACGGCACGTAACAACAACAACAACATCATCTTAAGACACACAAAACATACCCTATGGGTCCAGTACGTATTCCTTAAGTTATGACAGGAAATCATAACTTAGCATCTCTTCCTTTACAGCAAAGAAGCTTATCAGCCTCAATTTAACTTTCACTTGAACATTCATTTTATCCATAGAACAGTTGTGACAGTATAACAAAATTACTGACCTTCAACATCATGCCAGCTTGCTCATAAGCTCTGCAAAGAGAATACAATTTCTGTTATCAGAGCCTAAAGAAAGGAGAGAAGAAACGTCCTACAGAGAGTTACCTCAATTAAAATGAGCTCAAGCACAATATATTACTTGGGATTTATATTACCATACAATATAATTTTCTCTTCTTTTTATTTTTGTGGATAATTCCTTCTTAGGAACATCAGACATTTCAGTTAAAGGGATTTTATTTTGCAAATGCAAAAACTAAGTAAAGGTCAAGAAAAGTTAAATGATTTTCTATTACGCAAACCTACATCCAAGTGTTAAAACAAATATACTCCCTACAAAAACTGGAAAAAGCTGCCTGCTTCACTTACACAGTTACTATTAATAAGAAAGAGAAGAGGGTCTAGGTTACCTGATTTTTCAAAGGCTATTAAACAAAATGGTCCTGAAAATACTAAGTTTAATTTAAATGCTACAAATCTTAGTTATCAGTGGCTCTGTTTCTAAGGTTCAAGTGACAACTACTCCAAATAGAAATGACTATTTTATTTAAATAAAGTAATTCAGTAATTATGAATCTACAACTTGGGAAAAATTTAATGAACTATAGAAAATGGCAACATTTAAAACATGCAATCTGCAAATACATAAAAATATGGAGATTATTTACTTACTTGGCAGCATGAAAAAGACTGAATAGATGTCACAAAGTTAAAATTAAGGAAAAAAGGAATCAACAATTTCTAGAGGTTTACTATTTAAAAGACAAAGTTAAAAAAATCACAGCCCAGTTTGTTCCAAAAGTCAACCTCTACAAACAGGTAAAGCAAAAATAATTTATTGCCTGTTGATGTCTCATATATAATTCATAAAAGCATAGACAAAACACCCCACAGATTTTAAACTATTTCCATTCTGCATTAATCAAATGCATTAATCAAAATGCAAGGTTATTAGAACTCCAATTGACAAATGAGATGAAATAATGAAACACTGTTTAGTCAATAAGCTTTAAAATATCTTAGAAAAATGTATTGTTTTAAATTATATGGAAATCTTACTTCAAATATCTAAGGAAAATTATGTATTAAGTAAAATTTATAAGCCATTTTACTTTTTTCCAATTATCTGGCTACATCTTTATCTTCAGCAGTCATCTACAGATTTAATCTACTTCATTCCAAATAAAACCATCATCAAGCAAACCCAGTAACAGTAAATAAATGAATCGTCACTCCAAACTCCCAAGAGGAGTTGTGCAAATCAATGTGGAGAAAAGGATCAAACCCCACTATATATAAATGTTCCTTTAGAGTTTTGAACTGCAGAATTTTTCCAATCATTATCTACTTTAAAAGCACTGAACTTCACATGCAGCACTTTTTTTATTTTAATGTTATTTACTTTTTTTTTTAAATTAGGATTTGGGTGAAGATTTACAGAGTAAATTCACTTTTCATACAGCAGTTCACATATACTTTGTCTCATGTCATTGACCAAAATTTACAATGCAGCAGCTCCCCTTCCACTTCCTTCCCATAGTTACCTCCTCCCAGTGTCCATCCCTTCATACTCTTCTGCACCCTGAGCTATCTCCCTGTGCATAAGCAGCCCTTCCTTCTCCCATGATTGTTCTCTCCAGGGCGTGTGTCTACTTGAGGTAAATGTTTAACTCACATGCCTGTACTTTGTTTGGCTGGAAACCACAGTTGTGGGTTCAATTCCAGACCTGAAGGGCAGCTAGGGGCCACAGTCTCAGTGGTTACATCAGGCTCTATTGGACCAGCAAACCTGGTCCCCACCTTTTTTTTTTTGGCCTCCAAATGATTTTGAGTTTTGTACCACATTGTTCTCCCTCTTTATGCAGGATCTCCTACATCCCTTCCAAGTGGATGGCAGTGGTAGCTGGGCACCATCACACATGCAGCACTTTTAACAAGAAAAAATAACTAGTTTCTATCAAAATCATCTAAATGGTCAACTCCTTTTCAAAAGGTTGAAAAAGATACGCCCTGTTATTCTCATGTGCAACAGCTTCTCTCAGGCAGGCATCTTTTGCTTGCTCAAATTGTTTGGCATTTTTAAAAGCAACAGCTGAAACAGAACAGAAAAACAGACTTTCTATTTCCATTATTAAAAAACATCAAATGAATCATTATTGAAATCTGCATCAGGTGTGAAGTATTAAAAACTACACTTATTTTAACCAAATACTTAGAAAGTTTCATAAAACTATAGAATACAACTTTTTATATAAAGTAATATTCTTGTAACTTTTTTGATTATCAATTAATTTAGAAGTATTTTAAAGAGTCTAATATTTTTAAATCACGTGGCAACAGGTCAGTGTTACTTCCACTCAAACTCAAGAAGTCTTTCCAATATCAATGTCTAAGCCTTAAGAAACTACACCAACATCAATCAAACCAATTCCAAATTACAGAGAGGTTCATTTTGCCACAGGAAACAATAGCTTATCACCTTTACATTTAATAATTTTAGTGTTCTTAAAAGTCAGTTATAGCAGTCCAGCTTTTATTTAGAAACTGAAAATAAATAAATGCAGTAGTATTTATAATAAACCCTCCTGGTTGGTTCACTCTTTAATTACATGCATTAATGCATTTAGAGAGAAAATACTGTCCCAAGAGTGAAAGTATACTGTTAGTGTCATAGAAATATCTTCATGAGAGCAAAACTATTAGAAGTGGCCTTAAAATATATTTTAGAAATTCCGGAAAACTTAGTAAGACTTGCTTGCAAACAGGAGACAGAAATAGAAATCATACTGCCTTCAGAAAATGTTATTTAAAAAATCATTAAATGCTTGTTAATTAAGAAACAAAATACTATAACAATTCTCATTCCTGGTTTCCTCATTTTGTTTTTTAAAAAATTTTGTACTAATTATTTATTTTCCATAACCACTTAAAAAAAAATCAACAAAGAATGCCTTAAGGAGACAATTTACCCTGGAATATCTGACTTTAATAGTATTTCATGGTGTCAAATGCATACAAAATAAATTAGCTAATTTCTCCCATTGAGGAAACTTGTAAAAATGCAATCTCCAGTTACAAATGTGTACAAAAAAGGTAAAAACTATACTAAAGACCTGCATCTGTGTACTACCAACCCTATGCCCATTTCTGCTATCATGAAAGATAGCAGCATCTTCAACTCAGTCCTCAACACACCTGAAGTAGGTGGGAAAAAACACAAGGGCTTAATGTATTTTTCAAAAGCTATTAAAACCTAACAGTAAGGCTGCGGTTAGTGTTAGGCTTTGGCCTTGGGTTAGATTTAGGGTTAAGAATAAATATTATGCTGAGAAAAAGTAATTAGATTGCTTTAAAGTTATACATTGAAATGACAGGGATACAGTCACACATACCTGCTTTCCCATATTCAGAAGCAGCACTGTCATAATCTGGCTTCCATTTCAAAAAACCAGTTTTCAGGCTAAAATGAAAGGAAGACACATTTCACATAAGTTGCCAACTACGTAAGTGAAAACCCTAATTCTAATATTTTAAGAATAAGCAGCAGCAGCAGCAGAAGTCATCAGGCACAAACTCTCCATCTAACCCACCTCCTTCAAAACTTATTTATCACTAAATACACCCTTGCCACTTGCCTTCCCACTCATGTAAGTGGTGACCTCCTTGTAAAATGTCATACACATAGAATGTGGATGCTATATGTTCAACATGTGTTCTCTATACCAGCAGCATCAGCAATATATGGGAACTGGCTGGAAATGCAAACTATTATTTATTTATTCATTTTTATTTGGGTGAAGATCTACAGAGCAAATTCACTTTCCATACAGCAGTTCACATATACTTTGTCTCATGTCATTGACCACAGTTTACCACAATGCAACAGCTCCCCTCCCACTTCCTCCCCATAGTTCCCTCTTCCCAGTCTCCATCCCTCCATACTCTCCTGCCCCCTGAGCTGTCTCCCTGTACATAAGCAGCCCTTCCTTCTCCCATGATTGTTCTCTCCAGGACGTGTGTCTACTTAAGGTAAATGTTTAACTCACATGCCTGTACTTTGTTTGGCTGGAAACCACAGGTGTGGATTCAATTCCAGACCTGAAGGCAGCTAGGGGCCATAGTCTCAGTGGTTCCACCAGGCTCTACTGGACCAGCAAACCTGGTCCCCACCTTTTTTTTTTTTTTTTTCTGCCTCCAAATGATTTTGAGTTTTGTACCACATTGTTCTCCCTCTCTATCCAGGATGTCCTACATCCCTTCCAAGTGGATGACAGTGGTAGCTGGGCACCATCTAGTTCTTCTGGTCTCATAGTTGTGTAAGTTGCAGATCGGATGGTGTACCAGTCGCTAGGACTGATGTTTCCATGAATTTTGGTTTTCTTCTTTCTTCTTGAAGAGGAGAGACCCATCATTGCATCTAGATGGCAGCTTGCTAGATTTTAAGATCCCAGTTGCTACTCGCCAAAGTAGGAGGTGGAACAATGTTTTGTGTAGTATGTTATGCCAATTGCGCTTGATGTCCCCTGCGACTATGGTCCCAAGCCCGCAGGTTCAACTACTCAGTTGCTCTGGGTAGCTGGCTGTGACCAATGGAAATGCAAATTATTGAGCCCCATCCTTGACCAACTAACTCAGAACTCTGTGGTGGGATGGAACTATAACAGGACCTAAGTCACTCCATGGAAGGAAGGTTGGGCAATCCTACTCCGTAGTGATACTGCCTCAGAAACCCAAGGAGGGGTCGCTATGAGTCAGGGCCGACTCGACGGCAAATAACAACAACAACAACAACGCACATTAAAGCTTCAGAACCTCTGAAGCACAGTATCAAGGAAGCTGTTAAATTCCTAAGACTGGCATTCAGAGGACCAGCTGCCATCAAATCGATTCCAACTCATGTGATCCCATGTGTCAGAGTAGAACTGTGCTCCACAGGGTTTTCAGTGGCTGTGTTTTTTTAGAAGTAGACTGCCAGGCCTTTCTCCCTAGGTACCTCTGAGTGGACTCGAGCCTTAAATTTTTTGGTTAGCAGCAGAGCGTGCTAACCATTTGTATCATTCGTAGACATGGAGTTCAGAGGAAAGGTCTAGGAATAAATTGGGTAGTCATCAGAATATACTTCATCATGAACATAGACAATACTACCTATAGATAATGTAGCAAGAAGACAGAAAGACTAAGGAAGACAAACATTCAGAGGAACAAAAGGAGTCAGCATATAAGGCTGAGAATCAACCACCAGTGAAAAGGAAGGATGACCAACAAAGAGAAGACTGTTATCAAAACCAAGAGAAGCTGCTTTACACGATCAATAATGGCTTCTTAGATGCCAAATCAAAGGACAATCAATTCTGAGTCCTTTTGGCCTTTCTGCAATATTTTCTTTCTTTCTTTAAGATAATTTCAGATTTACGGTTTCATCTATCCCAATGACTCTCACACTTGGATGCATGTAAGAATTGCTAAATAAATACCATCTTATAGCCTAACTTTCAATTCAATTAATAGAAATCTGTTTACAAATGACCCTGTTAGCTTCAAAGGAATCAGAGGCTAGGTGAAGTACACCTTTCCTTGTGTAACAGCATGGGAACTGCCCAAAGCCTCTAACTTATTACCTTTTTTGCCAATCAAATTTATTTAGCACATATTTTGTCTAAGTACTATTAACAGGATTCAAATCTGTAAGCAACTTTTAAAGCTTACCAAGCATTTTATTGGTCAAAAATAAAATCTTAAAATGTCTATATTAATCCATAAAGTTCAGAAAATATGCAATAAAGCCTCCTAACCCTTCACCGCTACTCCAAAGTTCTCATTACATTATGTATGCTAACATAATTTCTAAAATGCCACACACAAAAAAAGATAATTATATGTATTAACCATACACGCAAAGAACCAGCATCATCAAATCTTGTCAATTCTATTCGATAAAGGTTGCCCAATCCTGCCTCCTTTATCCTTACTTGATTTCAGGCTCTCATCACTTCTTACATAAGGTCAACAGCCTTCTGACCTACATACATCACCTTCATGGGTCAATCACTTTTTCTGCTCTGCCCTCCTCTTCCACTCCCCCCACCATGGGAGATTAACTTTTCCTCTCCTTTCCTTTGTTCCTTCACCGTATCCACTGTATACTTCTAGCATTTAATGCCCTATTTTTGTTTACTTGTCTATTCTCCGACAGATTCCAAACTTTGAGGAAGGAGCCACTTTCATGTCATACCTGTATCCCCAGTGGCTAATAAACAGCAACAACTTTGTAGCTCTCACCCTCTCCAGTCCACTCTTGTTTCCACCATTATTTATTTTGCCAAAAATAAATCTAACCACATCCACTGATTATTCAATGCCTAGAAAAGATTCAAGGCCATTAGAATGGCAACCCCTTCACAGGCTGTCCCTGACTGTTCTCTGTGCTAGTGCATTTTATCGCGCTCCACCTACGCTACATTCACCATTCCCTGTACACCTCTTCAGGGCTGTGAAAGCATTGCACCCTGTGCGCAGAATATCACAGGAAGGATTTCCCTGTCTTTAAATTATTTTTCAGGCCCTGCTCAAAAATCAAGGAGCTCCAGTGGTGCAGTGCCTAAGATATCTGCTGCTAACCAAAAGGTTGGCGGTTCAAACTTACCTACAGCCGCTCTGTGGAAGAGACAGTAAGCTTCCATGAAGATTTACAGCCTTGGAAACCCTATGGGGCAGTTCTACTCTGTCCTACTGGGTTGCTATGAGTTGGAAACAACTCTATGGCAGTGGGGTTTTTCGGGATTTGGTTCAGAAATTACCTATGAAACCTTCTTAAATTTCCCCAGGCAAAATAAACTCTTCCCTCTGTTACCAAAGCACATTTAACACATCTCTGTGATGATCTTTATCACATGCATTTGTTTGTTTTTGTGTTTGCTCCTGCTAGAAAGTGAGACTGGGCACCTCCTGCACCAAGAGAGCTTCCCCTCAATCCCTTATTCACTGCCCAGCTTCCCCTCAATCCCTTATTCACTGCCCGGAAGTAACAGGATACAAAGGAAAGAATTTTAGTTTTTCCAGCTAGACAACTGCCTCTGCCACTACTGTGCAGCCTTGGGGAAGTCATTATGAGGCTTCTTTAAGTCTCATTCCGTCTTCTGTAAAATGAGAATATCTACGTAGAAAATTGTTCTGATGATTTCAGATTACATACATGGCCCACCTAGCACGGAGCACAAAGTAGAATTCTCACTGTCCGTAAATGCTGGACCGTTGAAATAATGATTCAAAACTTTATTGAGCAGGGAGAGTGTCAAAAAGAATAATTAAGGACAATCAGTTGCACTCCACAAATATTTGCTGGGTGCATACTAGATACCATAGCAGAAGCTGATAGAACAAATAATGAGGAGGCATAGTTCATGCCCCCAGAACAGTCTGAAGAGAAATGACAAGGGTTCACCGAGGCATTTCTAGGTCAATCTGTAGCCCACTCTCCCAAAACACGGAGTCTTTCAGCGCAGGGGTTCTTAATAGAACAGTTTTGTCTCATAGAGGGCATTTTTGGCTACTGGAAAAAGGGAGGGTACTAGTGGCATCTAGCACATACAGGCAAGGGATGCTGCTAAACATCCCACAGGGCACAGCACAGCCCCCAACACAACGAATCGCTGATCCCCCAGTGCAATGGCTGAGAAATTGTTTTTGAGGAAAACCATCAGGAGTTACAGAATGCGTAAAGGGCACGTGCGCCCCCCCCCCCCCCGGACAAGAACGCAGTAAAGACGACTTCCGGAGAGGCGGGCACCCGACTCTGGCCAAAGGTCATGAGACCCTGCCCTGCCAGGATCCCACCCTCTACAGAAACTCACTGCCGTTGGGTCCCCCAAGGGTCCTAAGCAGCCTCCCAGGGCAGTGAGAGCGGCACAGCCCTACCCACATCTACCCCTTTCCTCAACCCCGCAGGATCCGAAGTCCAGGCCGGGAGGTCACGGGGCAAGCGGCCGTCCATAGAGTCTCTCACTCACTATTTCTCTGCTTTGGCGAGGTGCTCCAGACCCTCGTTTATTTTTTGAGCTGCCATCTCCAAAGGCCGGTGTCTGAAGTGTAGTGAGGACGTACCTCTTCCCTTCAACTCGAAAGCGCCTGGCGAAGTAGGCGTGAGAACCCGGCGACGGAAAGGGACCGCTCAGCAACCAAACGGACTACGGCAGCGCGGAGGGCTCAAGCGCCTAAGGCAAACGCAGCTCCGCCCAGCAGAGGGTAAAGTCACGCAGGCGCAGAAGGCCAGTACTCGCCGGCTGACGCGGCTTCTTGTGCAAGCGTGGTTCTTTTGTAGGATTTTTCTGTAGAAAGGTGGTGTACTTAAGATGGTAGGTTGGTTCCTTTTCTCACTTACTCACTCGATAGTTCATTCAACAAATAGTTAATGAGTACCTAATTTGCCAGGCACTGCTTTGGGCGCCAAAGAATCAACAATTTTTAGGAATTTATCTTTCAAATGAAAACAGTCTAGATCCTCCTTGTAGAGTTAATTGTCATTTATAACTTATTACATGTGAAATTTCTCTGTATAATACCTAGAGCAGTATTCATTTTGAGCTTCAATTATATGTCGATCAGTATGCTACTTACGGAAAAAAGTCCTGACTATCCAAAAAGTCAGCCATTAACAACCCTGTGGAGCAGTTTTACTCTGACAGACATGGGTTTGCCATGAGTCCAATAGAATAGAGGGCAGCTGGTTTGATTTCTGATTATACTAGTTACAAGGTACACAGCGGTTAGCAAAATAGACTGTAAGCACTGAATACTGTCAAATACTACAGACTGATAAGTGCTCTAATGAAAAGTTAAGGGTGTTAGGATCGCTTGTGATGGCCTAGTAGAAATAATAGCTGGTAAGTGACATGGTGCCTAAGGCATTTTACTGCTAACCAGAAGGTTGACGGTTCAAACCCACCAGCCACTCCACAGAAGGAACACTGGGCAAGCTACTTTTGTAAAGATTTACTGACTCGGAAACCCAAAGGCGGTGGCCATGGGTCAGATCATCTCCATGGCAGTGAGTATCGTTTTAGGAGCTCTGGTAGCATAGTGCCTAAGGCATTTGACCGCTAACCAGAAGCCTGGCTGTTTAAACCCACCAGCCACTCCTCAAAAGGAAGATGGGCAATCTACTGCCATAATGATACCACTTCAGAAACCCAAAGAGGGGTTCCTATGAGTCAGATCTGACTCTGGTTTTTTTGGTTTTAATACAGTTGGCTCAATTCTCTGTCATAATTTGTGGCAATGTCTATATCCACATGGATGATGCTTGCAATATCTATACACTCTGTCAATTTCTAACTTCCAGTGGTCTTTTTTTACATCCAGTTAAGTAACATATTCCCAGGATCATATCCTTGACCTTGTGGTTGTTAGTTGCCATTGAGTTGGCCCTTGTCTTATGGTGATCCCATACACAGTGGACTCTGATCACCAGGCCTTTCTTCCTAGTCTGCCTTAGTCTTGAAATTCTGCTGGAACCTGTTCAGCATCATAGGAACATACAAACCTCCATTGATAGACCATGGTGGCCATGCTTGAGGTGCATTGGCCAGGAATTGAACTTGGGTCTCTGTTCTGGTTACCTAGTGCAGCTCTGACAGTAATATACCACAAATGGTATGGCCTTAACAAACAGGACTTTATTCTCTTACAATTTGGAGGCTTTAAGTCCAAGTTCAAAGTGCCAGGCTCTAGGGGCTGGGTGAAAGCTCAACCTTGGGGTCCAGCTCTGCCTCCAGCTCCTGGCCCACTGAAGCTAGAGGCATTTCTTCACTTAGACAGCTGCAGGCTGCTGAGGCTGAGAAGCCCCAAGGTTGACAAGTAAAAAGGCACAGTCCTGATGTTACCAAACCACACGGCAGGCCATTAACTTAAGTCCACTGTAAGTCCCAAGGTCAGCACAGCATAGCAAGCTGCTGAGCAATAACACAGCTACATGCAGGGTCCAAGCATGCCATAGGCTAGATAGAGACCATTCCCAAGGCTTCTCCTTATATACAGGAATCAGACCACATCCCAAAGGCAGCTACTCAGCTGCTTGTGGTAGATCCCACCATGGAGTTGATTGCCAGTCTCATCATGGGGAATAACTACCCCCAGCTGCCCAGCCACTCAACCAGGCCCAGCCAAGTTGACACACAAACATAACCACCACAGTCTCCCACATAGTAAGAATTCTACCACTGAATCACCACTGCCCCTGAAGCTGAGTTGAATTGAAGCTCAGTTCCCTACCCTTTTGGTAATCATCTCCCACTCTGGTTGGAGACAGATGAGCAAGCATGCTAATTCGTTTCCTTAGTTGTTTTTGAGAAACTTAGCCAAGACCAACTTGAAATTATTTAAAACCAGCCCAGATCTGTTTTGGCCCACAGACATGCTCAGTGAGACAAATGGAATGAATTTGCTTGGAACTAACATCTCCCCGTCTGCCTAAGCCCTAAACAGCTGATGACAGGAAGTCTGTATAACTCATCAGGTGTGCAAGTACACTGCATTAAAAATTGTCTGTCCCTTTAAACCAAGGCAAATAAAACCTCAGCTAATCTCCAGCCAATTCACGCCCAAATTCCTGAGATGTATATGAATATGTATAGACCCCTTTCTTGAACCTTACAAAGACTGAACCCCAACCCCGATTTGGGGAGTCAGATTTGGGTACTGGCCCCTGTCTCCTTACCATATGCATGGTAATAAATTATCTTTCTCATCTCAAGTTTGTAGTGTGTGTGAACTGATTCCACTCGATTATGAACTGGGCAGAAGCTCACTTTAATCCAACTTCACCCCCATCCTTAACCTTACCAATTACTAATAACTGCCTGTCCTCCTATCATTCTAATTCACTCTTCCTAGTACCAATAGTTCTTCATCTTGTTCCTACTTCCCTCATTACCTAGCATGGGTTTTGTGGTCCAGCATGCTAGCCACTGTCTTGCATATACCTTCAGCTTCCTTGGGTCATTCTGTAATAGTATAGACAGATTAGAATTTCTGGGAAATGAATATGTATTCTAACTTCATAATCTGAGTTCCATATTAATCAATCATGCCCCTGCACAGTCCCAAGATCATAAAACCAAGAAAGGAACAGCTCACAGGACAGGGCAGTTGCATTTCTCAGATCCTGAGACTAAGGAAGGGACCCTGCAAAAGAAATAATGCAAACATAAATTTACTGCTTAAGTGGCATTTCCTGATAACAAGCCATTCTTGAGATGTCTTCTAGCCCACTACCCATGGTCAGTGTTAACCAGTTTTGGAGCCTGTACATCCCTGCCCTCATTTACTGCCTGAAGAAATGAAATGGTAGATCCAAGACTCAAACCAGGAGCAAACAGCAGAATACACTTGTGCAACAAAAGTTGTAGCATCCATGTTGAAACACACAGACTCCATCTTAGAAAGAGACTGCGCTTGAACCTAGCCTGAAGGAAGTTGAGGTCTGTCTTAGGAATTTATCACAGCCTTGTTTAGCTTCCTGACCGTCACAAAAGGATCAGGATTTTATGAATACCTGCCTGCATAAGGTCTTTTGAAATCATGTACCCCACGGCCTTAAAAACTATTATAAAAACCCCTAGCCTGTAAGACTTGGGGAGACACACATGGCATTGCCTCTGGCCCTGTGTGTCTCCACCTTGCAAGGTTACTATCCTATTTTGGGAGCTCTGGTAGTATAGTGGCTAAGACACTTGCCTGCTAACCAGACAGCTGGCGGTTCAAACCCACCAGCCACTCCTCGGAAGGAAGGTTGGGCAATCCTACTTACGTAGTGATACTGCCTCGGAAACCCAAGGAGGGGTCACTAGGAGTCGGGTTTGACTTGACGGCACATAACAACAACAACAGCAATCCTCTTATTAAACTTCTCTCTGAGCTATAGCTGGCTTTCTAGTCATTACTCCAGAATGTGGCCTGTGACAGCTTCTAAGGAATATTCTGGCTGTGCTGCTTCCAAGACACATTTATTCTTCTGGCAAAACCAAAAAACCAAACTCACTGCCATCGAGTCAATTCAACTCACAGTGACCCCTCCTTGGGTTTCCGAGGCAGTATCTCTATGGAAGTAGATTGCTCAATCTTCCTTCCAAAGAATGGATGGTAGGTTAGTACCGCCAGCCTTCTGGTTAGCAATCAAATGCCCTAGGCACTAGGCCACCAGAGAATACCATGGCTCGAGTCAGAGGCACCTTCCTTTTTCAAGGTGATATCTTTGTTCTTTAACACTTTAAAGAGGTCTTTTGCAGCAGATTTTCCCAGTGCGATGTGTCATCTGATTTTATGACCGCTGCTTCTATGAGTGTTGACTGTGGATCCAAGTAAAATGAAATACCTGACAACAATCTTTTCTCCATTTATTGTGTTATTGCTTATTGGTCCAGTTGTGGGGATTCCTGGTTTCTTTATGTTGAGGTATAATCTTTACTGAAGGCTGTAGTGTTAGATCTTCATCAGTAAATGCTTCAAGTCATCTTCACTTTCAGCAAGTTTTTGTCATCTGCATATTGCAAGTTGTTAGTGAGTCTTCCTCCAATCTTGATGCCACGTTCTTCATATAGTCTAGTTTCTTGAATTGCTTGCTCATCATACAGATTGAAGTAAGTATAGTGAAAGTATACAACCCTGACACATACCTTTCCTGCTTTTAAACCAGTTGTTCTTTTTGAACAACTGCCTCTTGGTCTATGTACAGATTCCTCATGAACACAATTAAGTGTTTTAGAATTCCCATTCTTTGCAATGTTACCCCTAATTTGTTATGATGACATATAAACATCTTTCTGGTATTCTTTGCTTTCAGCCAAGATCCATCTGACAGCAGCAATGATATCCCTCATTCTGTGCTCTCTTCTGAGTATGATTTGAATTTTCAAAAATAAGTAAGATCATGTCACCCTCTACTCAAAAGCCTCCACAACTCCCATTGTCTCACAGAGTAAAAGCCAAAGACCTGATATTGTCCTCTAGGGCCTACCATCCTCTTTGACCTTTCCATGCCCACTCCAAGGACACTGGCCTTCCAACCCCCCACTTTTTCCCAAACACTAGCACCTTTGGGTCTTTGTT